TGCCCACTCCATTTCGGTTGACGTGTGGCCTGATCACCCATGGCGTGCCTTTATCGGCACTTTGGTTTTGGTTTTGATTCTGATTTGGTGTGAATTCCTTGAACCCAGTATCCCGCAGATGGTTCAAATGCATTCAGTCTGTAGCGGCAACTGCTTTGCTAACAGAAGAAAGTAGAAAAATAAATTTAGAGGAAACCTAATTGTGAGCACACCTCACCAGTTAAGAAGTATCCTCAGTTAAAAAGAAAAAAAAAGCAAAGAAAAAAGGTAGCTTACTAACTCAAAAATCTTAAAGTATGGGGCTATTCTGTTAGAAAAAGATGATTTAACATAAATCCCTGAAAATGCTCTTAACCCAGCAGATTTCCTAACGGGGGATTTAAATCTTAATTGCCACACAAAGGTCCGACTAGACCTAGGAGGAACTCCCTTCAGGACAGGATGATTGATAGTTTCTCCCAGGTGACTGAGGAAAAAAAAACCCACAATGGGTATTCCGTAATTCAGTGAAACTCTTGTAGAAGCAGAGTTAGAAAAATTGCCCAATAATCGGTCTGCTCAAATCTGCGAGTTGTTTGCACTTAGCCAAGCCTTAAAGTACTTACAGAACAAAGCCATCTATACTAATTCTAAGTTAATTTGGACTAAACAAAGTCTTGTTAATACAAAGGATAATTGAAATCCCACACTTACAAAGTTTTCAACAAAAGTAAAGTTTGCTAAAAGTTAACAATGTAACATGTATTATAGTAACTTCTAATCTGTGGCCTTAGACAGTCTAGTCCACAGATATGAAGGAAGTCTGCTTTGGAAAAGAATGGTTATCATCTTTGAAAACAACAACAACAACAACAACAACAAAAGGAGGGGGGGCAGAATTTATATAAAAAGGAATGTTATATGGAAAATTCTTGTCCTGAAATAAATTAACTAGTTGTTTAAAGAAAGGGATGTTTGCAATAAGTCAGAAAGTTGAGGCATGTCGAAGAATTGTCTGTGAAAGTCATAAAAAAAGTGTTAGAAAAATTTATGCAAGAAATGTTGTATAATTTAAATTAATTAATCCTCCTGAACATAAAACTATTGAAGAAACAGTTTATGTGCAAGGTGTATAAGGAAAGTAAAATATGCCTTTGGTAAAAGGATTATAAGGAGGCATAAGAATGTTTATTTTTACTTACATTAAAACGTTAAAAAATTGTTTTGAAGGTTTAAGCAAGTTTTGAAACGTTAATTGTAAAGAAAATTCTGTGTGTAAACATATTGGCTACAGTTAAAGGGGTATCATCCAGTTTTTCTGTGAACTGGACATTAAAAGAAAAATACAACGAGTTTTTCTGAAAGCACTAGCCTGCTCTTTGACAAAAATTATAAAAGGTTAAAAAAGTCTATAAAAATCTTATCTTATAGTCAGACATTAAAAATTGAATAAATATGTTTACAAAGTTTTATTAAAACTAAGTTGAACATTAATAACACTAATATAAAGGTGAAATCTAGCTTATCTGGTATAAACATACAGGAAGCATTATCAAATATAAAATGGTGTTTGGATTTCTTTGGTCTTAAAAACTAATAAAAATAGATGCTAAAGGAAATTTCTCGGTAAGAAGGCACCAAGGACTATAAAGTTCACTGCTGATGTCCCCACATTTAAAACAAAAGGTCCATTTCTTAAAAATTATATACTTGATTTGATCTTTCACTTGCCTTTCCCTCCAAACTAAAAGTCTTTTAGCACATGTGCCACCCCTAGAATTTCCGGTAAACCAGCGCCAGCCTGAAGATCATGTTCTCATCAAAGGGTAGAAAGAAGGAAAACTCGAGCTGTATAAACATGTGGCTGCTGGGCCATTGCACGGTGGCTGTTGTGATGAGGTTCTGAATTTTTAATTGTATATATTTAAATTTATTTACCCATGAAGAGGCACATATATGACTGAGAACCACAATAGACGGGACAGCTCCAGAGATCCAGAAATGAGGAAGATATGACTCCCTTATCCTGGAGTTTTTTGTTTGTTTGTTTGTTTGTTTGTTTTTGCCGAATCATTTGCTGCTCTGATTCTAGCCTGCATTTCAGGTTACTTCCTGGGCATCTGCACAAGGGTCAGTCACTCTGTGGGGCTGGGGATATGATCATGAGGACAATATCCAGGTCCAGAGGGATTCCAGCAGGGGGCGCTCTTGCACCCAGTGGACGAGCATGGCTCTGCACGCCCTGTTTAGACAAGATCAGAGCAGCAGGAGCAGAGGGGTAGGGGCATCGGGCTGTCCTCAGGAGCTCACCCTCATCTCCAGGGACCCTGACCCAGAAGCTGGGCAGGCTCCAGGATGAGTGTGGGGCTCAACAGGCTGAGAAGACAACCCTTCCACACCTGCACTAGATCCCAGCCTGGGGGCGAGCTAGAGCTCATCCTAGGGGTGTGTTCATTAAAACATCCATGGGGCCTAACATGTCTCCCCCAGGACTGAGCTCTGGGATAAGGACAAACGAGGAAGAGACAGTCACTGCCCTGGCAGTAAACACCCATGGCCAGGGTTCCTCTTCCATCTGCGGGAAGACTCCGAGTGTGATACTGACGATGTTAAACCACCTCCAAAGTAAGCGGAAACTGAGGTGTTGCGGATTCCACAGAAGAGTTGCGAGGATGACCTGAACTCTAGGGTCAGTCCCCACCCCTTTGCTGAGCTCACCCTGTGCTGGATCTCATGTCTCTCCCCACCTCCCCTGCTACTCGGGAGCGCTGTCACTGCCCTGGCCAAGAACTGGGGGGCTGCGTCTAGTTGAAACACATTTCTGGGCCAGAAATGTGTTTATATTATGTATAATATAATATATATTATATATTTGTATTATATGTAATATAATATATATTATACATTTATATTATATAGTATATATACAATATATTATATAGCATATATATAATGTTATATACTATATTATATATAAATATATATTTATATATATGTATATTTTTTGAGACAGAGTCTCACTCTGTCGCCCAGGCTGGAGTGCAGTGGCGCGATCTCGGCTCACTGCAAGCTCTGCCTCCTGGGTTCACACCTTTCTCCTGCCTAAGCCTCCGGAGTAACTGGGACCACAGGTGCCCGCCACCACCCCCGGCTAATTTTTTGTATTTTTAGTAGAGACGGAGTTTCACTGTGTTAGCTAGGATGGTCTCAATCTCCTGACCTCGTGATCCACCCGCCTCGGCCTCCCAAAGTGCTGGGATTACAGGCGTGAGCCACCATGCCCAGCCATATGTATTATATTTCTATTATATATATACACACTTACAGTGGGCAGGGCACGGTAGCTCACGCCTGTAATCCCAGCACTTTTGGAGGCTGAGGTGGGGGGGATCACTTGAGATCAGGAGTTCGAGACCAGCCTGGCCAACACGGTGAAACTCCGTCTCTACTAAAAATACAAAATACTAAAAATAGAAAAATAGCCTCATTTATAACACAAGCCCCCAGTATATTATGTTCCCCATGTCTTACCATGATTTCAAACAACTTTCAGATTTATTTTCAGTTCCTGATTTCTACCACTCAGACTGGGCTGGAGGAACTCTAAGAAACGGACTTTGTCCAAATTTGGGCTCCCCTTCCTTCCTCATGCAAACGAACTCTTAAAGATTAGTCCACCAAGTCTTCTAGAGATGTCTACACGAGTCTGAATTTTAGGGTAAAAGTGGCTGAGGTTTAAGTTGAGAGTCTGTATGGCAAGTTCCTGACTCTTAAAGGTTTTTAGTTTGAAGAAGATAAAATGCATGAATCATACTAGGGCAGAAAGAGTTCACAATAGGTGTTTTGGTGACAAAGCACTTGTCCTACATAGCCCAAGGGTAAATGCCAATGCATATTCAGAATGGAGCAGGGAAATTGAAAATAAATTTGAACCCATCTAATATAAAGCTTCTGTTTCATATCCTGGCTCTTAGCAACTGAGTGACCTTGGGCAAGTTATTTAACCTTTCTGAGCCTTCATTTTCTCACCCTAAAATGGAGGTAACAGTATTGTCCCTATCACTCCCAACCCCCTTACTGTTTGGTAAGAATTACATGAGATAAAAGGATATGTAACTAGTACAGTGCCTGGCACAAAATAAGGAGTCAGTTAATATTACCTCTTTTTCCTCCCCCAGCTCAGCTCCTTTCCTCTTCCTTATCCAGGAAACACAGAAATATATGGATTCACCGCAGAAGCTGGACCCAGCTCCTCAGATGCAGCAGATGGATGGGCACACCCTGTAATGACCCAGGATGGGGCGGGTGTTCTCCTGCAGGGTGACTGAGAATGTGAACCTCAGAATGAAATGTAAGAACACCAGGCTCCATGAGGACTGGCTACAGCCACAAACTGCAGGTCACTGTTCACAGGTGCTCAGTAGGAAAAGAAAGGGGTTTGCGATATTTTTTTTCAGCCAGATGGAAATAGGCTTTCATAAAATGATGGTAGCTGGGGGTGGTGGCAGGCGTCCCTGATCCCAGCTACTTGGGACGCGGACGCCGGAGAAGTCCTCGAACCCAGGAGCTGGGGGATTCCTTGAGCCGAGATTCTGCCATCTCAGCCCAGCCTAGGGGAAAAGAACAAGGCTTCATCTCAAATAAAAAACAAAATAAACACACACACACACACACACACACACACACACACACACACACACACTTACAGAGGTAAGCTTGGCTTCTCTCCTTTGCCTGCAATAGGAGAAAGGAAAACACTATGAGGATCAGATCACATGGAGTCCTGTTGGCACAGATCTTTTATTTTTTTTGACGGAGTCTCGCTCTGTCGCCCAGGCTGGAGTGCAGTGGCGCGCTCTTGGATCACTGCAAGCTCCACGTCCCGGGTTCACGCCATTCTCCTGCCTCAGCCTCCCGAGTAGCTGGGACTACAGGTGCCCGCCACCACGCCTAGCTAATTTTTTGTATTTTTAGTACAGATGGGGTTTCACCGTGTTAGCCAGGATGGTCTCAATCTCCTGACCTCGTGATCCGCCTGCCTCGGCCTCCCAAAGTGCTGGGATTACAGGCGTGAGCCACCGCGCCCAGCCAGCACAGATCTTTTATTCACTTGGTGACATTACAAAACAACATGTCAAACAGTGATCAAGTCACTGGCCCCGTGAATGAAGCATAGACGATGCTTGTGGAAAAGGCAATGGGTTTTCATGGAATATTTAGCAAGTCCATGTTGGCTGGCAAATACAAAATATTTTTCAAGAAGAAAAAGTTGCTACTGAGAAATATGCTCACTACAAGATAGTTTCTAAGTGATGCTCTCATTTTTGACCACCATCATCCAACAGGACTCAGTTGGTCATAACTCCAGTGACCAGTCACTAGAGTCCATGATCAACTAAGACCTGATGGACGACAGCCATCAAATATGGTATTCCCTTGATATTCCAGCCAACAAAAAAATTGCATTTCTCTTCTATAATGTACTTGGTCAGATTTTTGTATCTTCATTTCATTAATAAGGCAAGAGGAACCAGGAGAAACATTTCTTCAGACAAAGAAATGCATCTTACCATCTCCAATGTCATGAGATCTTCAAGACCACCAGATGGACCCTCACTGAGATCTTCGACCAAATCTAGGAGAAGATAGAGTGACAGTCAGTGCATTGGTGCTGCTGAGGAATCCCACAAGGAGCCTTGGGGGATGTGGACCGGGGCTGGAGTGTATGGAGGTGGGCCGTTGACTAACATGGACTTAGCTGCTGCTGGACCATTGTCCTTGGTGTCGAAGGCAGGCAAAGGAGAGGGGCAGAAAGAAATGAAAGAGCCTTGGCTTTCTACCTAGGGCAACCTCATCAATGTGAAATAGTCACCTTAAGAACCGGTTAATACAGAAAGGCACTGTACTATAGAAACAGGAAGTAGATTCGAGGCTGCCTAGACCCAGGGGTGTGGGAGTTGGGAAAGACAGAGGAGTGACTACTAGTGGGGTTTCTTTGAGGGGGAATAAAGGGGTTCTCAGATGAGATTGTAACAATGGTTGCACAACCGTGTAAATAGAGTAGAGACACTGAATCACCTAATTTAAATGAGTAAATTGTTTTGCACGTCAACTACGTTTAAATAAAGCTGTTAAAAAAAAAAAGAATACGTACAGAGTTGAGACTGGGTTTTCGAATTGCTCTGCAATAAGAGAAAAAACAAACAAACAAACAAAAAAACAGTAATCAGGTCACTGGCCCCGAACGAAAGCATAGAGGATGCTTGTGGAAAATGCAGTGGGATTTTTTTTTGGAATATTTAGCAAGTGTCCATGTTGGCTGGCAAATACAAAACTATTTTTCAGGGAGAAAAGGTTGCTACTGAGAAATACACGCACTACCAAACAGTTTGTAAGTGACGCCGTCCTTTGACTGCCATTGTCAATCAGGCCTCAGTTGGCCATAACCTCTAGTGACCGGTCGCTACAGTCCATGACCAACTGACGCCTGATCCATGATGGCAGTCAAAAATGATATTCACTTGATAGTCTAGAAGCCCCAGAAAAAACAAAAAACAAAACCAAAAAAATTTCTCTTCCAGAGAAAGAAATACGTCTTACAAGTTCTGATTTCACATCCTCCGTGCCACCATGTGCAAGCACCTGCAGATCTTCATCAGAAACTAGGAGAACATAGAGTGACGGTCAGTGCATTGGTGTTGCTGAGGAATCCCACAAGGAGCCTTGGGGGATGTGGACCGGGGCTGGAGTGTATGGAGGGGGGTGGTTGACAAGCATGGACTGAGCTGCTGCTGGACCATTCTCCTTGGTG